TTTGTTGTTGCGCTGACTGATGGTCACCATTTTTTTGTCTTTCAGTGGTTTTCCATGCAAAAAGTTTCACAAATGGCATTTTGCCACAAAACCTAGCAGGTTCCGCGATTCGAATGCCATTTTGGCTACTCTGACTGTCGGCATTTTGCCGTTTTCCAATTTTGTTGCCTAGTAGGTGCCTTCTATGCTGATGATGCTCCATGCATCGACACCCATGTCTCCGGCCCCCAGGCTGGAATGACCCTGTTCATGCCCTCCGCAACCCGGAGTGTACCCCTGGCTAGCCCCGAGAAGATGGCAAAAAAAAAAAGGGGGCCAAGAGGCATAATGCCCACTCATCAAGAAGCCCCAAAAAAAAAAACGGAGGCCAAGAGGCATAATGCCCACTCATCAAGTGGGCGGCTGCTGCTGCGCTGTGCAGCTTCTTTTGGCGGCTGCTGCTGCGCTGGGGCATGCTGTTGCTTCGTGTGCTACATGCGCTGCTACGAACACTTCGCTGCGGGGCGACGCGCTGTTGCAGCTTCTTCTGGCGGCTGCTGCTGCGCTGGGGCATGCATGCTGCGGCTTCGAGCGCTACTTGCGCTGCCTGGGACCTGACTGGCTCCTGAGATGCCTGAGCCGTAGTCCGTTGTGTTCCCATCTCACTTTTTCCTTACTTCTCACATCATACCTTCCATCATTTGATTTGTACTTTTCTCCATGCACACCTGTTCTACCAACAACAACCGGCAGAACTTTTGGGTTGTGCAAGATAGCTCTAAGGAGCGTTCTGGTCTGAAAGACCCAATCAACGGCAGTCACCAGTAACACTGCCGGAATTGGGCCGCATACAAATCATGTATGTGCTGGGCTCGACCTGCTGACTAAATAGTCATGGGGTAAAAACACACACACACACACAAGCCCCTTTGCATCCAAAGTGATGTTTCAAAGAGCGAGGAGCTCTAGCCCCCGCGACCCTATTGCCCGCTTGAGTTGTGCCCTAGAGCAATTTGCATTCCGTTGCTGATCTCCTGGACCCATCTTTTTCATTTCGCAGCTGCAGAGACTCCCTAAGTGTATGACCGGTTTGGCGAAACAGCAGCGTGGAATTCTTTCTCATTTACTGGCTTGTACTGCAGGGTCGCTCCTGTCATTTTTCTTCCTGGCTATTGACATTTTCTCCATTTGCATTTGCAATTTTCTGGCCTTGATTGGCGGGTGGCTCCGCTCTGTTTGCAAGGTGACGGTGCACATCCATTGGCTTCACTGCCTCATTGCATCATCATTGATCAATTCAATATTACAACTCCTAGCGGAAGGGCGCAACAAGTGCAAATCCGGTCCCAAGTCCGGACGTTCAGCCTTGAGATCCTGTACACCGACTTTCACTAGCTTTTTGTTCAGTGTTGGGGTTTACATCTTGATATCTTTCACAATGCAGCTGAACGGGGGTGAGGGTTGTCTTGGTGAGTCATGCACCAAGACAGGAGCCGTCTTTGATGCCGCGGCCCTATCGACACTTCTTCAGGCGAAACATCATGACAAAGCGCTGCCAATGGACTTCGGTCCTGAGAAAGACAGTTTGACAGTGCATCGCATGGGAAGCGTGCAAAAACGGAGTTACAAACGTGCCTTCAGACGTGCTCTGAGAACAGGCAGTGCTTGGTACAGAGGTCAATTTTTGACCTTGGAACAATTCTCACCAGGTCTCCAGCGTCCTGAACCAGATCCTGCAAAACCGCGACTGCAACATAGACCACACCAGCCCATGGCGCCACGCCATAGGGTGCAAGTTGGCCATGTGAACGTTGGAGGGTTATCCCAAGACCGGTTGCATGAGATAAAAATATGGGCGCAAGAGACTGAGATTGACATCATGCTGCTCAGTGAGACACGCTGGTCTTTTGATGCTGAGTGGGTGGATGCTCACTGGTACCATATCCATTCTGGGACAGACACGGACCGTGCAGATGGCCTTCTTTTCCTTGTCAGAAAGACTTTTTGCAAGTCTGAGAATCTAGGCTTTGCTGCTGTCCTTCCTGGTCGAATTGGCCACTTGCGCATACAGTTCTCCAAAAGGTCACTGGATCTTATTGGTTGCTACCAGTATACAGCCAATCCAACCAATTATACCACACAGAAACGTCAAGGCTTTTGGAACCAATTGGAACAAGTGGCTGCCACTGTCCCCAATCGTAATAACATCATCTACATGGGCGATTTCAACTGTGGCATTACTGCACAAGGGCCATATACTGGAACGGAATGGTACACCTGGCAATCTCACTCATGTAAAGGACCTGTTCACAAGGATCGACATGAGTTCATGGAGTTTTTACAGAAATTTCATCTTACTGTCCTGAACAGCTGGAATGCCAAAAACCCACCCAGTTTTGTTAACATTCTGGCCACTTCTAACATTGATCACATCATCATGCGTTTGGCTGATGTGGATTCAGCAGCAAAGGATGTCAAGTATTTTCCAAACGCACCGTTTTTACCAATTGCAGGTGCCAAGCACATCCCAATGACTTGCACGATCAGGAAAATCCCATACGCATACACCAAGCAGGCACAGCTCCAAGTCTGCTCATTTCAGCAACGGATGAAATGCAGACGGGCATGGCAGAGCAATAGCGATGAATGGCAGCAGTTTCACAACAGTTTCTCTGACCGTTTTTTTGAATTCACCCAACTGAATCATGATGATCAGACTCTTGTTGATGATCTGCACAACTGGCTACTGCCTGTGTTTCACAACCATTTTCCTGCCGACCGGCCTGGCTGTCATCCTCTTAGTGAACCTGATGCCAGTCAAATCCAGACCATTCGAATCAAATGGCATCACAGAGCCCAGCTGGTGCAGTGCCAGACAGCTGACATTCAATCACTGTTTCATGCGTGGTTTCACTATGGCAGATTTAGGAAGTTGAAACGCTTGCAACAACAACGTGTGCGTTTTTTGAAAAAACAGAAACTTCATGATCTAATGTCAGATGTTGCTCAGGCCTCTCACCGGCATGACAGTTTTGCTGTTTACCAGGCCATCCGTAAATACACTCCCAAGCAACCCCTGAAGCGTATCAGACTGCGACTTCCAGATGGAACACCAGCCACGAATGAACAGGCCTTGGGCATGACCAGAGAGTACATTCAGGAAATTTGGCATCGAGCTTCACACATTGACCTCAAGCAACCTGTTCCCGTTGGTGTCCCTTTTACATGTGATGAATTAATTCAGGAATTTGCACAGATACCGCTGACCAAAGCAGTGGCAAGGGTGTGTTTGCCTGGTTTATGCTGGAAGGTTCATGCACAACACGTTTCAACTTTTTTTTTATGCCAAATTACAACAATGGTGGAATCAACATCCCATTTTCATACCCCAGCAGTGGAAGGATGCGCATCTTACCTTCATCAACAAACCTTGCAAAACGCCAGACAGACTGGGCCATCTTCGACCCTTGGCTCTTTTGGAGCCAATTGGCAAGTGCGTGCTGGGACTTGTCACTTCGAAATTCGCTGCTGACGTCCATCCCCTCATATGCTCATGGCCTCAATTTGCATTCATGAAACAGAGATCCACCTTTGATGCTATCAGGAGGGTTATTGCACATTGTCAGCAGGTCCGCACACTCAGCCACACTCAACGACGCAGTGTCCATGACCGGTATCATCAACAGACTTGTTATCAGGTATGTGGAGGAATCCAAATCTTGTTGGACGCCAACAACGCCTTCGATCAGGTTCCAAGACAGCCACTTTTTGAATTCCTACACACCCTGCCCATCAACCAGGTTCTAGTGACCATCCTGACAGAATGGCACTCCAATACTGCATACCTTGTGATGGATGGACACACCAGTCACAGAATGGAGACCGGTCGTGGAGTGAGGCAAGGCTGTCGTGCGGCCCCTGTGCTATGGTCCTGCCACACATTGGACCTGTTTTATCAACTTCGAGATCGGGTTGATGTCACCTGGATCAAAAAATGCCTCACTGCGTTCGCTGATGACCTTCATTGTTGCGACGTCTTTTACAGTGAGATTCAGCTGAGGCAGGCCATTTCCAGGATAGGACAACTCCTTGATGTGCTTGATTTGATGGGTGTACAACTGTCGCTGGAAAAGTCGCACGCCATTCTCAAGATCAGTGGCACAAATTGCTGTGCAGCCCAACGACAGTACATCCAGATTGATTCTCATGGTCCATACATCAACATTCCCAGACAGCATGGTCAAGTTTCCAGATTACCAGTTCATTTTCAGGCCAAATATTTGGGCATCACTGTAGGCTATCATCAATTTGAGCATGGTACAGTCAAGCAACGGCTGAAGGCTGCACGAAACACCTTTGCCAGATTGCGTAGGTGGCTCTGTGCAAGACAAATCCCTCTCAAGACTCGATTGCAATTGTGGCATTCTTGCATTTTTTCCACCTTGGTGTATGGTTTGTATGCGGTAGGATTTACATTGAGTGATGTCCTTGCAATACAACAATGTATTTTCTCCATGTACAGACAGCTTCTTGGCAACCATAGTTTTCTGACAAGACAAACGCACCTGTCAGTCTTGAACCATTACAACATTGACCATCCCCTGAGCCTTTTGCTTCATGCCGGAAGACAGCTGCAACGCACTCTGAGCTGCAGACTCAATGCATTACAAGTTGATGACATTGTCTGGACCGTCGACTGGACACACCTTTCTTCTTTACTACAACTGGTCCAGTCTACCTGGCATGAACAACTCCAGGCCCAACAGAGGCTTCCAGCAGACGAGGTGCTTTTGACTCCACATGTTTGCCACTGTTGCGATTTCAAATGCAATTCATTGGCCAATTTACGCAGACATATGACCACCGTTCATGGCCAACAACAATTGCGTACACATTTCACGACAGTTGCATCATTTGCTGTTGGTGGTCTGCTTCAATGTTCTCACTGCCTTGAATCGTTTCCCAGCTGGAGAAATTTTCAAATCCATTTGGAACGCAATTGCTGCCAGGTGTTCAGACAGATGACGACTTTGCCAGTGAGCCCAACGTGTCCAGAGGCCCAGTCCAATGAGTACCCAAAGCTCACCAATGCTGCACTGACGGCCCTGCTGTCCAAGCCATATGGTGTGGAAGCCCTACGCAATATCCAACAGAAGAATTGGGACGCCCTACAGCAGCAACCAGATGCCATTGCAGACCTGACACATCATTGCGTGATTTGTGGAATGTTCTGCAACCGGCCGCAGGATTTGAACCTGCACATGCGCACGCAGCATCCCACATTGCTGCCTAACGTGATGTCCAAAGCCAGCCAGCTCAATCGAGCACAAGCATCCAATTCACCATGCCGTTTTTGTGACCGTGAGTTTCGAAGAACACATCAATGCCCAGTGATGATGCAAGCAGCACTTCTTTTGGTTAATACTGATGACACTGGCCGCAGTTTTTCCCAACCAGGTGATGCTGTTCTATGCTGCGATGTTTGCAACATGCGCTTTCAGGAGCTCATGCAATTACATGATCATTTGCATCAGATACATCGGCTTGAACCGCAAGACCGGGACCCCCTCAGGGACATGCTGACAGGGACAGAGCCGGTGTGCTCACACTGCTTATCCATGTTTGCGGACAAACCAGCACTCCGGCAGCACATAACCTTGGGACAATGTCGAAGCTTTGACCCGATGCGGCCACCAGCAGAATATCCTGTGGCACCTGACTGGCAGGAGCTCATTGTTTCTGGCACCATTGCCCAGCTGCGACAGGCGCCACAGAAACGGATGCACCTGACTTTGAGATGTCAATTCTGCCACACTGCATTTCAGAGAACAGGAGATCTTTCATTGCACTTGCAGACGGTTCATAGCGTCTTGTGGCATGACTCGCAATCTCATGTTCAACTACTGATGGAAGCCAGTCACACTTTTGGATGCCTGTGCAACCCAATGACCAATGCCAGTGGTCTTCAGCACATATGTGTGGCGCTCAGGCAGCTTGGCATGATGATGCAGAAGATGGACCAGCCCTTGTTTCTGCCTTGGACGTTTGAGCAATCACACATTCAGACCTTTCTTCAGGCAGTTCTTCATGAGCCGGCTGGACAACAATTGCGGGAATGTCTGCGCTTGCGTCAATTTGTGACCCTATGGACTGATCCCCTGCTTGTTCAGTTTCTGCGCACCAGATGCCTGCAGTGTGGCCAATCCCTCCATCCAGCAGAATTGCGTGAACATTTGCACAGAGCCCATGCCTCAGTGATGAATGCCCAGCAAACTCTCATGCCACAACTCCTGACAGCTGTTGGCCGTGAAAATGCCAACGACTTTCACTGTGACATGTGCCAGCAGATCTACAATTATCCACCGAGAGGAGATGAATCATCACAAGACCTCTCGGCCAGAACTCTTTTGGCTCAGATCCATCTCCAACATCAGTGTCCAGTTGTGCTGCAGCTCTCGCTTCTGCTTCAAGATCATGGACGCTGGCACTGCCTTCACGGCGGAGGACTCCGAGATGTTGGAAACTTTCAAGATGATGGGTCCACTCTTCAAACAGGAAAGATACGAGAGACCAGAAGACGGCCGCGAGTCAAAGAAAATCAGGAAGGACGGCAGAAAGCAAGAAGAGTCCAAGGACACCCAGCTTCTCATGGCGATGGGTCAACTCTTGCTGAAAGTGGATGCGGAGCAACAAGCGCTCAAGCGTCAAGACTCATGGATCTGCTTCATGCAAACAGAGCCCCAGGCCCTCTTGCCGTCGCTGATTCAGAAGGCAGCGGAATGGAAGCAGACCACCAAGGTGAAGCAGGAACCTACGATGGATCACTCCCCTCTACCACTGCGATGCCTCCTCACCCAACACCTGGCGGAAACTCTGCTCCACCGGGTCACCAAGCTTGCACAATGCAGCCCAGAGGACCCACTGATGAAGGTAGCACTGGAACAGGGACTGCTGACACAGGAGGGCCACTTCCCCTACCAGCGGTGGAATGCGCAAGCGCAATGCCTCAAGACCACCAATCATCAGCCAATCACCATCCAACGGATGATCAAATACTCCGAGCAGATGGTCGAGATCCTGAAGGATCCATGTGCAACAGTGAAATTCCACAGTCTCAGACCTCTCTCGACAGAGGCCATTGTGCCCTGGATGTGGCAAATATCGATGAGATCGGACGATCTTCAAGTCTTGCTGACAACGTTACAAGGGAGTACTGTATGGAGTCTCCTCGGCCTATCCCTGAAGCCCCATGCTCTCCACCTGAGCAAGCAGGGTCAACACCTCCAAACTCTGATGGGCAAAGGACAGGGCAAGAGCCAGGGCAAATCCAAGACCAAGCGCTCCCAGTAACGCAGGCGAACACTCCGCCACAGCCCAGCCGCAATGAGCTACTGGCCGGTATTTCATGCCTTAGGTTGGCCAATGACTCCAATTGGTGCTATGTCAACGCTGCTGTGCTGACGACTTTGTGGTCTTTTCTGAGCCTGGCTCAGTTTTCACTTGTCAACTGTACTTGTTCAGTTATGTTTAGTGGGGTACTTCATTATATATATAATATCCCGTAGCCATTTTGGCTCAAGGTGGCATTCATTGCATTATGCAAATGCGTATGTGCTTTAAAACTTTTTGGTCACTCATGGCCCATTTCAGTTGCGTTTGCGTTTTGTGCAGGTTTTATCTTGTGGTTTGGTCGTCTAACAACTCAACATAGTCAGCTTGTGGAATTTTGTCATTCATTTCCATCGCATTTTGTGTTTGGCATTAATTGCACGGTTTCCTCCGACAGATTTCCGGCAATGGCATGCATCGCACTTTGGTAGTGCATCGCGGACCCATCGGGATCTCAGAACGCTGCTATGCAGTCCTGGTCTCGCCTTTGAATCGACATCTGTTTACTCAAATCATTTTATTTTTGGCTGACGATCAAACCAATTTCACAGTGGATACAACGGCATTTGCATTGACTTCAAAATTTTTTTGCGGCATACATTGATTTTTCGAGAGGTTGACACACCATCGATCGCTTCACTGGGAGATTCAGATGGATGATTCCTGGGAGTTGTTTTTGGCCTCTGACGATGTATCCAGCGTTGTTGGTGCAGAGAGTTTTCAACCTAGTCCCAAAGCACTTCCATTACCATCGATTTTGAGTCGTGTTTCAGCACCACGCATTCGTTCCCCCTTTCAGGTGACAGATTTACATTCCATGTCGAGTTCATCCTGCGCAGCAACAGTCGAAACTGTGAGGCCCTCAACTGTGGTTTCAGGTCTGGCTAGGCCCACATCAAAGCATTCCAGTGTGGAGTCATTACCATTTCCTGAATATGGGGAACATACAGTGGATCATGTGGGACTTTTAGCACCAGCATTTTCACATCCGCCCCCAACAAGTTTGTTGCCAGATGCATTCGACAATGCAGACATTCCAGAAGCATTGCATTCAGCTGCTGCGACAGTTTTCGATGATTCCCTTTTTACTTTGCAACCCAAGCAGCCTTCCAATACAACCCATCGACCATCGCAGGCAGGGTCGAATTTGACACGTGTTCGAATCGCTTCGAAGTCCCCGATCGTTTTGAAACTGTGGAGTCAGTTTTTCTCAGTTTTGCACATTTATTCTACGGTATTGCAGCAGATGGCAGAGAGTCAGTACATGGACGAACATGCTGAGAGATTTCTGAATCAATACGCAGCCACGACCTTGGTGCGGTACATGACCTCAGTTTTGCAATTTGTACAGTTATGTCGAGTGATGCATGTCACCATAGCTGATCTAACCGAAGCTCAGTTAGCTGACTTATTGATTTGCGGGTCTCTTGCCAGACGTTCAGATGGGTCAGGGCCCAAATGCTCGATCACCATCAAAGCTTTGAGATGGTGCTGTAAACAACTGGGTATTCAGCAATTTGCATCCGCCTTTGGATCACTGATTAGTTCCTTTGAACGCCAGAAACTTCCCACAGACAGAAAAGAAAGTTTGCCTTTCCCTCTTTTCATACTGATGAAATGGGAAAGGCGGGTATTACAGGCTCAGGCCACGATCAAGGAAATTATCATTTTGGGTGGTTTCTTACTTCTTTGCTGGTCAGGATTGAGATTCAGCGACATGCAAAGGACTTCACTGACCACGTGGTTCCTTGATGAACGATCCTTGAGAGGATTGACTTGGAGAGCGAAGACTTGTAATACATCAACACCTTTCGGTGTGGTTTTAACGGGACTTTTATCCCAAGGAAACTTTACCTGGGTTCACCGATACTTGCAGGCATTGGACCATGTCTACGCTGACCAACCAGCCGAATCTATCGACTTTGCAATCCCGGCATTTCAGGACCAGGATACCCCGGTGATTCCTGCTGATGCCATGACTTATGCAGAAGCTTTATACCATGTGCGGTATTTCATGCAACTTCCATGGAGTCAAAGTTCGCTCTCGTTGCAGGTCGACCCAACGAGCTATACGGTCCACGGCCTCAAGGCGACGCTGCTATCTTGGGTGGCACAGGCAGATTTGTCGCCCGAGGACCGTCGCATGCATGGCAAGCACAAGGCAGCTCAGATGAGCGTCCAGTTATACTCACGAGATGACATCATTGGCAGTCTCCGCCTTCAGCAGGCCTTGATTGAAAAGATATCTCAAGGTTGGCGCCCGTCAACACCCTTGGGCAGGGGAGGCCAGGCTCCCTTGCTGGAACCTGATTTTTCTATTGAGAAATTTAAAAAGTCAGTGCCATCAATGCAATGGAGATTCTTTTCATTTTCCAAGCATTCCAGTCTGCAGTTATTGGCTGATTCAATGCATCCGAGCGATGTTGCAACACCAATTGAGGGAGAATCTGACACAGACTCTTCCTCTGACAGCTCTTCGGATAGCTCCGATTCAGTGGAGGTGACACGACCGTCCAAAACTCAGAAAACCAAGCATCCAGATCCGATGGGTCATGCAGACGAATGTGTGGTCGGGTTGCACCGCAAAACATGGCACATGATGATGGCATCCCAGTCGGACAGTGAACACCTACCCATATGGCAAGGTTTTGCCATGAAAACTGCGTGTGGTCGAAGCTTCCCGGATTCCCGCATTCAATTGGGAACCAATGTTCAGCTGGAGACTGGACAGGCGTTATGCAGCCATGTTGGCTGTCGCAAGGGCTTCAGCAGCCTCAGCGTTTCAGATTAATCACTCCCATGCAGCAGCTTTCGTGATCGAAAACAAAAGGGTTGCACTGCAGGTCCACTCTTTGATGCTTCAGATGATTTGCATTTTGATTTTACTTGCCATACCCGATTCTACATGACATCATAGACTATATTGGAAACCACAGAGTATTGTTCCTTTGGGTTTTCCTTCAGGGAAATTTTCATCCTTGGGTTGGGGATTTCCTCCAGTGCACCATGATTAAGCAGGTATTCAATTCATCATCATGTCTGAAACGTAGTTGGCATAACTGACATTGGCGTCAAACGATTTTTTTGGGCATTTTCACAATAGTTCAGTCGTGCACTGACTTTGGCGTGTGCCGTGAGCACCATCTGGCCTGGGTAGGCAATTTCACATCCATTGCATGGCTGGGTATCGGCTTCAGACTGCATGTGCGTTTGAGCACATGACATATATCCATGTCGCACAGTAATGACCCCAATACATCTGTACTTGTACGAACTTAAATTTTCTCTACAGTTTCATCGTTTCACAGTTTCATATTATTTGCATGCCTTATATATACCATTACCCAGTGCATGTGTAGACATGTTATCACTATCAACTCCAGGTGGGTTCATGAGATTCACCAATTTTGTTTGCTCCAACCATTTAGAATCTTCGCTGTCCATCATTGGTGGGACACTTGATGGCTTCACTTTATGACCTCCTTTTGGAGGCAGGTGTACAAGCTACATTTGCAGACAAGCTTCGGGAAGACGGATGGACAGTGGAATTGTTCGGCATGGCCGCAGCTAGCCTGGACAAATTTGACGATGAACTCAAGGACATTTTAGGTGATCTCCATGACATCACGACAGCTGTGCAAAGATCAGCTTTTCGACTGGCTTGGACAAGATGTCAGACCAATACAGCGACACCATCAGCATCAATGCCGGCTCCAAATGCTACGTCCAGTGAATCTGCATCAGCTCCATCAAGCTGGTCAGAGACATTTCCCCCGAAGTTGACAGCCCAGATCGTTACCGAGATGAAGCAAAGATTCCGGAAGCATTACCCGGCTGAGGTTCTTCTTCCTGAGACGACCCCGTCCTTACGTTTGCTGTCATTAGTGCACCATCAGAAATCCAAATCGGAATTTCGATGGGTCCCCTGGAAATATCGACTCAGTCAATTCAAAGCTGATGAACTGAGCTCAGCCAAACCGACCAGAATGGCAAAAACAGAAGGACTCCAGCTCCATGCACTATAGTTGACACACCGCCAGAACTGACAATTGAGAATGGTTCCATGGGCATGCATGCATTGCGGCAGACTTTCGAGACTTTCAGCTATGCAATGGCAATGGTCGAATTGGCGCACCTTGCAACATTGAAAAACTACTACCTTCGTTTCATCAATTTGATGACTACCAAGATGGATTCTGAGACTGGTTTAAGGAACCCAACCATTCTGGAAGCTCAGAGCGCTGACAAGACTCTGATGACCATAGCTTGTGATTTGGTTATGGAGAAAGGATGGACATTTGACGACGCACTTCATGAGGTCACATTCATCAGGGCCGAGATCAATACTCTTTTGCAAGCTCGACCCAGGTTGCCAAAACAGACTTATCAGCGATTGGAAGTTACCTCCTCCAAAGGAGCAGGCAAAAATTCGCGACCAGGCCCATATGGCAAGGGCAAGTCTGGCAAATCTGGCACCAAGTCAGGTGGCAAAACATCAGGAAAAGTCAGTTGGATCACAGAAGCGATGGTTAATGGTACCAAGAAGCAATTGTGCATGCGATTTCAAACTGGCAAGTGTGATATGGGCAATAATTGCCGCTTTCATCATGGTTGTGCATTCCCGACTTCAACTGGTGAAGCTTGTAATAAGTCGCATGGAGCATTACAGCACGATCGTACTCCTCACTGACAACCGAATACAATGGAGTTTCAGGCGGGTCTCCATTTGGACCATCCTTCTCCGGTGACGGATCATGGGGTTTCAGCGCAGCCGGCCTCTAGTTGCAACTCTACGGAGCCCAATGGCATTTTGCCTGATGCATCCGAATTCACATCGCAGCCATCTCAGGTTTCACCGTCATCATCCGCCATTCAGTCTCAGTCGGTTGACCTACAGTTAACAGATTCTGTAACAGAAGTCAAGTCTCCTGTTGTAGGTGTCTTTCCGAATACTCCTTCTT